ACTGAGCTCCTACAGGCTCTGTGCAGTCCCCAAAATAAAGATGGCGCCTGCCCCAACGCCTGATGGGCTGAGAACAAATGAAAAAACAAACAAGGACCAAAGAGTGCAACAGAAGAAAGCAACGTGGAAGCCAGAGGAGGTGGCGGGGGGAGGGCATGGGAAGAGCACTATAAGAAGAAATATAAAACAAACACAAAGCAACAGAATTCAAACAGGTTAAAGTGAGTCTGACAAGGAAGGCACGTGGGGTCCATTCTCAGTCCCTCCAAACCTGCACTGAGCACAGGGATGGGAGAGAAGCAAAGGTAGCTCTAAGCTAGCTGTGCACTCCCTGTGTTCTAGGGGCATCCCAGGTCTTGCCTGGTATAAGTTAGAGCAGCCCCAGGGTAGAGGGCCCCTCTCTCCCAGTGAGTTCTGCTGGCCACCTGGCAGCTGCAACAGCGACAACGGAGAGCCACGCTAATGCATTGAGGTACTTTCCCTCTCAGTGGTGCCAGCTGCAGGGTGAAGCCTGCTATGACTGTGCTCTTCTGAGCATGGACAAAGCTCGTCTCCATTTCTGTTCCAGCGGCCAGCTTTGACCCTAAGAGAAGAAAGAGGAAAGGCAGCTGCCGAGGAAGGAGAGAGACCAAAGGACAAGGAGAGCTGACAACGGGGCTGACACAGGGATCCCACTACTTTTACACCAAGAAACATAGGCTACCAAACACCACACAGTTTGCCTTCTGGTGGCTTAGTCTCTTGGTAAAGTGAATGCTCCCCATTCCTTGGAGTGTCAGGCCTTCGCTCACCATTCAGCACAGCAAACTGCTCACTCTAGCAAACGCTATTTAATTTTCAAATGTGGTCAGACTTAATCCCACTTGGTACCTGTTGCCTACGGTGCTTTCCAGGTATAAAGTGCTTTTCCTACAGGGCTTGGCAGCCCTGAAACACAGGCTGCTGATTTACGTGCCTGTATATGGCTCTAGGGGCCTGGTTTTCGGTCTGCAGGTCTAATCCTTCCTTAGAGACACCCAGCCAGCTCTCACGGACTTCTGAGACTAGCAATGTGCCCACGGAAGGTTTTAGAGAGCATCATTGTAGTGGGTTCTCACCTTGGCAGATCTGAAAATCAGGCCACTGGTGTTTGGTAGTGGCCTAACTTGTGACTCCCATGTTTGAAAATGTTGGTCATAGTGTGTAGATTAGAGTGAGAAGAGAGGAAAATCCACTGTGGTTTTGAGAGAGCATTAAAGACAAGCTTCTGGTTTTTTGGGCTTCTTTGTGGTGTGTGAAGGAAGAATGAATCTGGGGAATTTTCTCAGAACAAGTTGAATATTTCTTTTCCCTGCTTGTTTTTTTTCCCTTGGAGACATCAGTCTTGCTTTCGTTCATTTGGTTGCTGGAGCCCTGTGCACTCACATAGGAGCTTTCTGAGCGCTGCTCAAGGGACCGAGGTGTTGAATCTTTCACAAGACATGTTTCCTTCCAACAGTTTGTCAGGCATTCAGATGAAGAGGTTGAAACAGAGAAACCAAACCCTAAAGCTTTTGAAACCGTCCAGTGTAAAAACCCTTCCCTTCCATACCCCAATGCCAGTTTTACTCATCACTTGTGATGTTCTACTCCTGCAAGTTCTCCGGTCATCAATCAAGTCTTCTCTTGCTTTTTTTTTTTTAAAAAAAAAGCACTAAACAGCCTCTTTTCCTTAAAAGAAGAAGAACTTCAGGCCTCCTTCATGCACCACAAATGAACACAATAGGGCACAGATTGGTTCCAAGGCCCATGCCAAGATCCCTAGACCAGGACTCTCGTGGGCTTCACAGCAGATTTTTTAGGGGGGCTTGGGGCAAGAGACACCAGCACCACTGAGTTCAACTAGGGAGTTAATTGAATTTTCTCCACCTTGACTTAAACTCAGCCTGTGTAAAACATCACACTGCAATGATTCTGGATCCCTCTTTTGGACTTCACATGTCTCCAGATTCAGCAGTCTGAAGCCTCATACCCCAGCCTGAGCTTGACCCACCAGATGGCTTGTGTCAGAAGCAGATGGTTGCATTCTCCAGCCAGTGGAGACATGGATATCTTTTCCCCTTTCACAAGAGAGGCAGAGATATATTGCAGTAGCACCTGGAGGCCAATCAGACTGGGCCCTCATTATGCTAGGTGCTGTACTGTCTTGTAGTAACTGACAGTCCCTGCCTCAGACAGCTGACAGGTTATCCCCAGGGACTTTTCAGTCAGGACCGGCGGGGAGGGTCCTTAACTAAGGAGCTCCATTCTGGTGGTGATGGTCTGTCAGAGTCCTTTACTGGTGCCTTCAGAGTACCCTTAAGTCTCAGCTGGCCTAGCTTTGTCTTCTTTAGGGTCCCTTGCCTTGATTTGCATCTCCAGTCCCCTGATGACTAGCTGGGAACTGATCTGTTTGGAACTGGGGCTGTTGGAGATTCTATCTCACTGTCAGTATCTGACTCCTTTCCTTTCCTTTCCTTTCCTTTCCAATTTGTAGGCTCTGGAGTCTGGGAAGGCCTGAAACCAGCATCCCGTTTTACAGGCACAGTTCATAGTACTTGCCCATCTTCCTATCTGCTTTTCTTACCCCACCAGCTCACTCAGTGTCGAAGTACTAGAAACAGCACCTGTGATTAAATAGGAACAGCTAGTGGGGGTACGAAAACTGCAACCACAGGCAAGTTCTCAAAATCAGCCCCTTGACATTTGGCATTTGGTCTTCAAGCCTCTCCATGAATGGAAAATGGCACACGATCCATAGCTGTTAAATAAAGATGCATGCTGTTGCTTGCACAGCCAGAGCTGCAGCCCCTTCTCTGCAGAGGACTGTCATGCCATCGATACATAACAGGGAAGACGCTGGTTCACTTTTTAGATACTCGCTCAAACACCACAGCTAACCGATGTATGTTGTGCTGAAGCTGCCTGTGGGCATGCCTACTCTTTGAGCTGGAAGGTGAGAATTCCAGGTCAAGGAGACATACCTCTGTTAGCTTTGACTGAGCTAGCGCACTAAACCTTCAGCAGAATGAGCGGTGGGACGTGGGAGGGACTAGCCCTCCGAGTACGTACCTATGGGCCCAATCAGGAAGTCTGTGTCGATAACCACCATAGAACAGCCTTTCAGAGGCTTGGATCTGTGCGCAAGTCTACCATCGCTTAGAGAAGGACATTTTGGGGACTTTGTATGTGCGTGGGATGGGTGGAGATTTTGTCATTCTATAGATCAGGGGTTGGCAACCTTTAAGAAGTGGTGTGCCGAGTCCTCATTTATTCACTCTAATTTAAGGTTTCGCGTGCCAGTAATACATTGTAACGTTTTTAGAAGGTCTCTTTCTATAAGTCTATGTTATATAACTAAACTATTGTATGTAAAGTAAATAAGGTTTTTAAAATGTTTAAAAAGCTTCATTTAAAATTAAATTAAAATGCAGAGCCCCCCCGGACTGTGGCCAGGACCCGGGCAGTGTGAGTGCCACTGAAAATCAGCTTGCGTGCCCCCTTTGGCACGTGTGCCATAGGTTGCCTACCCCTGCTATAGATGATGCAGGAAGATAGCTTGGGAATCTGAATATTTAGAAGATGATTCTTTTAATACCTGGTACTGGAAGCAGCATGATTGAAGTAGCTGAGCACTCTGGCTTCCATCCAGCACAGCACTTCAGGAGCAAAACAGCTCTCTTTCTTTGCTGGATCGGGCCCAGCCCTTAAATCGGAGACGTGGGAGGAGAAGATTTGGCTCGGGCTGCCCATTCTGCTACTAACTGTGTGTGTGAAATGAAGCTGGCTCCCTGCCTCAGTTTCCTCTGCTATGAAAACACTTGCCTTTAGAGGGTTGAGATCTTTGCACCCAGTGCAAAGTCATACAGCTTACATTAGGGGTAGTAAACAGAAGTCTAAAGGCACTGATGCTCATGACACTCTGCTCTTTGTCCCATTGGCTGCACACTCTCTCTCCAAATATGACAAGC